TAACCCCCCAGGCGAACGCGCCTGTAACCCCCCTAGGATCAATCGGGCATCCACAGTGCAGATCTATTGACACCCCCCCACACTGGGAGGCCCAGGACTGAGCACAGTGGCAACGGCCTACATGTGCATACATCGGGATTCGAACTCGAGACCGCTCTGATACCATGTCAAGAACCCAACCACTTAGACCATTGGGATAAAAGGGCTTTAATTGTGTAGCGGGTTTGTGCGCCCATAACCCCCCAGGCGAACACGCCTGTAACCCCCCTAGGATCAATCGGGCATCCACAGTGCAGATCTACCGACATCGACGTAGGTGCCTGTGGAATTCCAAGAAGCCATCTCTGCGTCCATGGTTATCTGCCACTTAGAGGAGTACGGACCCGTGATCGCGTCCGCCTAAGAACGCGGAGTTGGGATGTCCAGTGCATCCGGGTCTCCCTCAAGGCAAAGTAGCGTGGACGCGAGATGAGGTGCAGCGACCGCTAGGCACTCCATCTCAAACTGCCTGTCCTCAAGGACGTCATAGCCAAGGGCAAGCTCACCCTCGACGGACGGAGGATGGGAAGAGTCAAAGACAAGACTCGCAGCGTAGTCAAGGCGGCACAAAGCAACAAAGTCAACAAGCTCATCAACTAAAACAGACCCCGCAGCAGACTCAAAGGAAGGGTCGGTCTCAACCGTGGCAAGTAGACGAGTGACAGTCGGACTGACAGTACGGACAAGGTCAGACTCAGGGTCAGGAACGTGAGGAAAAGAAGACGCGGGAGGCGGCGGAACAGAGGAACATGTGGAACAGAGGAAGGACGAAGTGCCATGATGTGCGTGCCAGGGACATGTGGAGGACGAGGACGCACAACACGACGAGTACGGACAGGCGTGACAGGATGCGATGCAAGCTCTCTACTCTCAGTGAGGGACTCTATCACCGCAGTGTAAGGAGCAGTAGAAGGCAGTGGGGAGTGAGGCAGTAGCTGTGGCTGAGACTGGTCAGGCGGTGGAAACAATAATGGAGGAGTAGTGCCAGCAACAGGGAACTCAGTAACATCAAGCGGGAGACTGAGAAGATGACTAAGCGCAGACGGCTGCAGCTGAGTAGTCGCACCCCCAGAACCTCCAGCTCCAGTAGTAACAGCACCCCCAGAACCACTACCTCCAGCTCCGCCACCAGGACTGCCCCAACGGACAGCCCACTCGCGAAGCTGCTGCGGCGAGAGCGACTCCTGCCGACTAGCACCAGGACCAAGGACTCCAGTACCTCCAGTAGCACCTCCAGTGTTAGCACCTCCAGTACCTCCAACTCCAGGAACACCAACACTAGCACCTCCAGGTCCAGTACCTCCAGTACCTCCAGCTCCAGTACGTCCCGCTCCGCCACCAGGGCTGCCCCACCGGACAGCCTACTCTCGAAGCCGCTCCGGCGAGAGAGGCTCCTGCCGACGTGAACCAGTACCACCAGTAACAGCACCCACAACACCAGTACCTCCAGTAGTACCAGTGCCTCCAGCACCAGTACTTCCAGCACGGGCAACTCCAGGAACACCCACACTAGCACCTCTAGGTCCAGTACCTCCAGCTCCAGCATGTCAAGCGCCGCCACCGGGGCTGCCCCAACAGCCCACTCGCGAAGCTGCTCCGGCGAGAAAGTCTCCTGCCGACGTGCACTAGTACCACCAGCACCAGCACCACCAGCACCTCCAACCGTAGTACCTCCAGCATCAGCACCTCCAGCACCTCCTGTACCCGTAGGACACTCAGCACCCCCAGAGCCAGCACCCCCAGAGCCAGCACCAGAGTCCACAACGACAGGCTGCAGTGGCGGTGAAGACGGCTAGAAAAAAACATGAAGATGTTCTGTGGCAGAGGAACCCAATGTTCCGTGGCCAGTGGTACTTCGTATATTCCGACTGGAACTCGGATGGGCTTGTCGCACCCACACTTGGCTAAGAGTATCACTTGAATACCTCTACTGACGTTGTCCCACAAGCTCTTAGGTGTTCGTACACGCAGTCTAGTTCCTAAAGTGGGCGCATTGTTGCATGGCAAGAAGGTATTTATCAGCTTGTTCTAAGCATGGAGCTAACGTGCTCCATTATACTTGTTTCCATTAGAATTAAATCCTTGGTTTCTCATACACGAGTAAAGGAGCTACTTGACTTTCGCTGATTACAATATTCAACTGAAGGCTAGAAAAAAACATGATACCCCGTAGTCCCCTGTATATATTTAGACTCGCATGAAAGAAAGTCCCCTCAGACTATTACCATATAGCCCCGAATAGCGCCGTCCGATTAAAGGCGCCGGTGCTTCTATCAGGAGCATGGCGCTTATGGCCAGAACTCAATTATAAGCGCACCCCCTTTGGAGCATGTACTTATTATAAGCGCATCCCTTTGCACACTTTCTAGTTTTTTAACTCTACTTTATAAAAGACCCTAAAATTAACGTTCTTTAAACTCTAAACATGTTTAAAAGTTTTGCACTTGAACATTTCTAGGGTTTAGAAACAACGGGGAACGGTTAGATCAACAACGGGGGGTTTAGGAAGAACGCATATGGTCTTAACGGTGGCTTTCGCACCTGCAACTGATAGTCTCTCTTGGCCCTCCTCTTCAAACCACTTCTCTCGTACTGCTGGCGGACGGAGGCCTTGAAGCTTTTGTTGACCGAGACGTCGAGGGGCTGAATCTCCGCCGTACACCCCGCCGGGATGACCGCCGGTATGATGTCGAGGTCAGCGAATTTCGCCTTCACGGTGTTTGTGAGATGACCGCAGTAGGAGTCCACCACGAGCATGGCGCTCCTCGCCTGCCTGGCGAACCGGGGCCTGATGAAGGGCTTAATACACTTGTCAAGCCACCGCGTGACGCCATTGGCTTCCATCGACCGTTCTCGTGGCAAGCCACGATCACATATGCACAATCACAAGCGGTAAGTTAACATCCTGATAAAATAAACAAGTAAACAAACAAAGAAACGAGACGCATCTCTTACTCGGCGGAAAGTCTCCCTTCGACACCGTCTTGCGCTTGAAAAACACCCACGGCTTGAGCTTCTCTCCGTCAGCCGTGAACGCCAACATCACGGTTACGCGTTCCTTCTGGTACTCCGCATTCCTTATGCGCACCGACCGAACGCCCGTTTGGTCCACATTGGTGGTGGCGGGCATCTCCAGCCAAAGCGGCGTCTGGTCGGCGTTGATAATCCACCGGGTTTCGATGCCGCGCTCACGACGCTTGTCACGGACGAACTGCCAGAACTTCTGGCACTGCTCCGCGACATCTGTGAACCAGAGGAAGGGGTGGGGACACACAAGGCTTAGTAAATCACAAGTAATACGGTACAACGCAATTAAGAAAAAAAAAAAAAAACGAAAATTAAATTCTTACGGGCGGCAGTTTTCGTGGCAACCTTCGTCTTCATGCGCACATTGAGATTCCACCGCCGCCGAAACCTATCCGACAACCTTTGGCTCCCCTTCCACTTCACGTCAGGGTAGAGTACCTTCATGTACTCCCGCGACCACTCTTGCAGACGACCGACGGAGACGACGGTTCCCTTGCGGCGCCAGTCGAGAAGCCTCTCATACACCTTGAGCTCCATCGGCCGGTACCAAGAAGATCTCCCGTGACCGTGCATGCGTTTTCATGCGGAATGAACATCCTTGAGTAAGTCCGAGGCTCACTTCTACTCCGTGAGACACTTGCGGTGGATGCCACTTTCGCGAGCCAACGCGCGCACCAACACCGCCACGTCTAGACGCGGGATCCACTTCAACTTCTCTTGCGCAGTATAAGGCTGACGCTTCTGCTGTGAGGGCTTGTGCCTCGGAGAGGGGGGGCGGGCATCACGATTCTCAGAAGAAGGGTTGGGTCGCTTGTGGTTAGTAGGCGGAAAAGATGGTATCGGTAGTTTCTCGGGGAGGCCGTCGCGACCAGTACTCTACACCGTCGTAGTCGTCGCCGCCCGGGGTACCCTCGGGAAACACATAATCCGCGGTACCAGCCTCGGTGCCAGCCTCGGTGCCAGCCTCGGTGCCAGCCTCGGCGCCGGCGCGCCACTCCTCATCGGCGTCAGCCTCATCGTCGTCAGCGCCCACAACGGATTCGTCCCAAGTGCAATCTTCGGGCTGGCCCCAACGTGGTGCTGGGCCCGGAGCCTCAACGTACTCATCTGGGGCCTTGTTGCTGTTAGGTTCCGAGAGGTACTCGTCGAACGCGGATGGGAGCAGGAGCGAACAGGAGGAACAGGAGGCGCAGGAGGCGCACGAGGAGCAGGCGGCGCAGGTGGCGCGGGAGGCTGTGGTGGCTGTGGTGGCTCTGGTGGGACACGACTATACCAGCCGTCAGCGGTAACTCTGAACGCGGGCCTAGAAGTAGGCTTCTTCTTGAACAAAAAGTGCGTGCCTGTGAATTTCGCCATGGCTTCCGCAGCCTGGCGGGAGAGAAAACGAAACTGAAGCAAAAACTGCAAGACAGAGAGTAAAAATGAATGTTTGGAGGGTTTAGGGGTCCTCGTCAATGAGAGATGGGTACCCCCCCGCCTGAACCCGCAGAGGAGGGTTCGCAGCACCGGCCATGCTGCGTTGGCAGGGGAGATTCGACACCCTTCTAGAGGGTTCGGCCAAGATTCTCATGCCTGGCAACGCATGACGATGTGATTGGGCCGCACAGCAGGTTTAGAGTCAGCTCTGGCAGGTGCGTTGCATCAGGACGGTTTTTGTGTGGTGGGGAATCGAAGCGCAGTTATTCTCGCCTACATCCCATGCACGATCGCACGTGAATGTTTCACGGACGTGTTCGCCTTATTGAGGGCTTCAATTTGGTACCTTTATAAACAAATTTATTTTTTACCGTTATATAGGTGCACGCGCTTATGCCCTATACTCAATTTCAAGCGCCCCCCTAAAAAAAATGGATTTTTGTTTATAAGCGCATATGCGCTACTATCCGGGGCTATACGGTACGGTATCCGGAAGCGGGTTTTTATAATGGTACCGTATGGCCCCGGATATAAGTATTAGAAACCGAGACACCATGATGGATGAATGTCAAAGTTATGTTTGTATAGCAACTTAGCCTGTAGTGAGTTACAGGCTAGGGGGTACACCATTTCACTCGACACTCTCCTTTTTCCCCTCCCCTTTGACCTAATCGACATCCCATTGCATTCCTAAATTGAGATGATATCATGAGCAGGTTAGGTCCTAGCCCCACCCGCCCCGCCCCTTACTAAGTAGCGCCCCGCCCCTTAGGACGTCCCGCCCCGTCCCCTTGCGCTCTGCCCGTCTTGCCCCGGCGCGCACGCTGCGCCGCTGCCCTGTCCTGCCCGCTCCCGTCCTGTCCCGTCCGCGCGCAGCCTGTCCCGCCCACAGCGCAGCCTACCCCACCCATGCGCAGCCTGTCTCGTCCGCCGCACAGCCCGTTCCGCACAGCGCGCAGCCCGTCCCGCCCCTTGCGCAGTCCGTCTCGCCCTGCGCCCTGCCAGTCCCTCCGCGTGCGCTTCCCGTCCCGTCCCGACCTTCCCGCGCGTAGCCCGCCTCGTGGGCCGCTCGTCCCGCCCTGTGCACAACCAGCCCTGCCCCGCGCGTGCAGTCCCGTCCCGCACGCGCGCGCACACCGTCCCGCCCGCGCGCAGCCCGTCCCTACGTGCCCACTCGCAGCCCGCCCCGTGCACCGCCCGTCCCGCCCCGTGCACAGCTCGCCCCACCCGCGCGCAGTTCGCCCCGCCCGCGCGCGTCTCGTCCCTCTCGCAGTCCACCCTGCACCCGCCGCCCCACCCTGTACCCACCGCCCCACCCTGTACCCGTCGCCCCACCCTGTACCCGCCGCCCCACCTGCTACCCGCCGCCCAACCCTGTACCCGCCGCCCCACCCTGTAAAAGCCCCCCCACCCTTTACCCACCCCCCCCCACCTTGTACCCGCCTCCCTCAGACTGTACCCGCCCCCCCCACACCGTACCCGGCCCCCCACCCTGTACCCGCCTCTCAGCCTGTACTAAGCGAGAAATGGGATGAACTAGAAAGAAGGTGGGTAGTACTAACCCTAATTGGGTTGTAACTCATATGGCCTACCCCACTACATCCTACACAACACACAACATATAAGTTTGACACACCCCCATAGGCAAAGTGGGGGAGAACAAGAGGTCACAAGACCAGTTAAGAAAAGCAGAGCAAGCTCAGGGTGGATCACGAAGTCACCACACACTCTGAGCACAAGCAAATGGCCACAAGGCCAGTTCACATGCAGAGTTATAAGCACAAGCAAATGGCCACAAGGCCAGTTCACATGCAGAGTTATATAATGGAGAACAAACAGTACAGTGATCAAAACCTAGCAAGTGTAAGCATGCAGGTATATGTATATAGATCACAGTAAAAGCAAAGTCAAGAAGTGAGCAAGTGAGGCCAAGCACAGTATAAGGCCTAAAACAGTACAGAAACGCTGACGATCACAAGGCTGAAGTGCCTTGGTGAAGATATCAGCAGTGTTGGCCCGAGAGGCCACGTAAGCAAGACGAAGCTGACCACGCTGCTGCAACTATCGAGCAAGGAAGTAACGCAGAGCGATGTGCTTCGTCCTGTGCTCCAGTCTGTGCTCCTGACACAAGGCAATCATGGCCTTGTTGTCGACGTACAGATTTGGAGGAGAACGAGGCGGCTCTCCCAAGTCGGTCAGCAGGTAGGTGAGCCAGCGTAACTCCTGTGCAGCCATGGCCCCTGGGTAGATCTCAGCCTCACAACTGGAACTGAGAACAGAAGACGAGCGGGTAGACCGCCAAGAAACAGAGCCGGAGCCAAGGCTGAAAGTGTAACCCTGTGACGATCGCTGCGTAGCCAAGTCGTCAACCCAAGACGCGTCTGTGTGTCCAGTGAGGACAACTGGACCCTCTCCAAGCACGAGCCCCATGCCCGACGTACTGCACAATGTTAGAATGTAAGAAACAGGAATGGTTGAACTAGCAGGAAGTTGGGTACAAGTAGTGAAACCCTAAAGTGTTGTACCCCATATTGTCTAACCCACTACAGCCTAAACAAGCTATAGCATATAAGTTTGACACACCCCCATAGGCAAAGTGGGGGAGAACAAGAGGTCACAAGACCAGTCAAGAAAAGCAAAGCAAGCTCAGGGTGGATCTCAAGGATACCACACAAATTCCGAGCAAAAGCAAGTGGTCACAAGACCAGTTCACATGCAGTTTGATTAAAAGACAAGAGGTACAGTGATCACAACCTAGCAAGTGAAAGCATGCAGGTATATATATAGAGATCACAGTACAAGCAAAGTCAAGACGTGAGCAAGTGAGGGAGAGTAGACACAAGGCCTAGAACAGTACAGAAGCGTTAAATGGTCACAAGGCTGAAGTGCCTTGGTGAACACGTCAGCAGTGTTGGCCCGAGTGGCCACGTAACGCAGACGGAGCTGACCACGCTGCTGCAGCTCTCGAGCGAGGAAGTAGCGCAGAGCGATGTGCTTCGTTCTGTGCTCCAGTCTGTGCTCCTCACACAAGGCAATGGCTGCCTTGTTGTCGACGTACAGCACTGGAGGAGAACGAGGCTGCTCTCCGAGGTCGGTCAGCAGGTAGGTGAGCCAGCGTAGCTCCTGGGCAGCCATGGCTGTGGCGTAGATCTCAGCCTCACAACTGGAGCTGAGAACAGAGGAAGAGCTAGTAGAACGCCACGAAACAGAGCCAGAGCCAAGGCTGAAGGTGTAACCCTGAGACGACCGCTGCGTAGCCTGGTCGTCAGCCCAAGAAGCGTCTGAGTGGCCAGTGAGGACAACTCGAGCCCGTCCTCCAAGCACAAGCCCCATGCCCGACGTACTGCACAAGTAGCGCAACACCCTCTTAGCTGCATCCATGTGCTCCTTCCGGTGACGGCCAGGAGCGACATAGCGTGCTAGGATGCTAAGAGGGTAGGCTAGGTCAGGTCGTGTGCAGGTCATCAGGTACATGAGGCAGCCCACAAGCTCTGGATACGGGCCACTCGGCTCTACGGACTCATCCGAAGGCAGAGCTGAGAGCGAGTGACCGGTAGGCAGAGGAGTGGGCTGAGGCGAGGAGTACGTGAAGCGGAAGCGCTGAAGGACCTGCTGCACCATGCGTGACTGAGTCAAGGTGATGGTGTGCTGTGCTCTGTCCCGGGTGATCCGCAAGCCAAGATAGCTTGTCAGCTCACCCAGGTCTGTGCACGTGTGTCTCTTCTGCAGCTCCGACTTCACGTGGGCGAGTGCCTCAGTGTCAGAAGTAGCAAAGACCAAGTCGTCTACGTACATTAGAACGTAGAACGGCGGCAGAGTGGTGTCGGTGCGTAGAAACAGCGACGGGTCAGCAGTAGAAGGAGCAAACCCAAGAGCAGCAAGAGTAGTCCTCAGTGTGTCGTGCCACTCACGTGGCGCCTGGCGGAGACCGTAGACCGGCCGCCGGAGGCTCCACTGGGTACCAGGAGGGAACGACCCAGTGAAGCCAGGTGGGCGGCGCAGCCAGATCTCCTCGTGCAGGGTGCCCTGTAGGAAGGCAGTGCTGAAGTCAAGGCAGTGGAGCTCGTAGTCACGCTGAGCGGCGACGTGCAGCAGAACCCGAAGAGTGGTCATCTTCGGGGTCGGGGAGAAGGTCTGGAAGAAGTCAACTCCCTCTCGCTGACTGAAGCCTCGTGCAACGTAACGCGCCTTGAAGGCAGGCGGAGAACCCGGCGGCCGCTTCACCCTGAAAATCCACATGCCACTGACGATGTTCGCCCCAGGTGGGGGAACCTCGTCGACGTAGGTGCCTGTGGACTTCCAGGAAGCCATCTTTGCGTCCATGGCTGTCTGCCACTGAGAGGAGTACTCACCCTCCATCGCCTCTGCGTAGGAGCGTGGGGTCGGGATGTCTGGTGCATCCGGGTCTCCCTCAGGGGCAATCAGCATGGACACGAGATGGGGTAAAGCAGCAGCAAAGCACTCAAACTCCTCCTGTCTGTCCTCAAGGACGTCCGTGCCAAGAGCACACTCACCCCCGACAGACGGAGGACAGACAGACTCAGACTCAGCGACAAGGCTAGCGGCGTAGTCAAGACGACAGGCGGCAGCAAAGTCAACAAGCTCAGCGACTAGAGCAGACGCAGCAGAGGACTCAAAGGTAGGGTCAGTGACAACAGTGGCAAGGAGACGCGCGACAGTAGGACTGGCAGCACGAGTAAGGTCTGACGGCGGGTCGGCAACGTCAGGAAGAGAGGACGCAGGAGGAGACGGCAGAGGGACGCGCTGTGGAGCAGTGGACTGACGCAGGGTAATGTAGTGAGTGCCTAGGACAGGAGGAGGACGCTCACATGGAGCACGACGACCAGTGCGTGCAGTGCAGACAGGCAACTCTGGACGAGACTCAGAAGACGCAGGACTAGACTCAGGCGACGGAGGACGAGACTCAGGCTCACGACGCTCCGTAAAGCTACCTGTCGGCGCAGTGTAAGGAGAAGGACCAGGCAGTGGAGAGGCAGGCTGTAACTGTGACTGCGACTGGACAGGTGGTGGACTCATTAGGGGAGGAGAAGGACCAGTAGAGGGCGGGAGACCAAGAACCTGCTGAAGGAGTGGAACGTAGTATGGCCTCGGCCGCTCAGCACCTCCAGCTCCAACCCCCTCAGCAGCACCAGTCCCAGCAGCTCCAGTACCTCCAGTACGAGCACCTCCAGGGCCAGCAGCTCCAGCACCAGCAGCACCTCCAGCAGCTCCAGCAGCACCAGCACCAGCAACACCTGCAGCACCAGCACTACCTCCAGCAGCTCCAGCAGCACCAGCACCAGCAGCACCAGTACCAGCAGTACCTCCAGCAGCTCCAGTAGCACCAGCACCAGCAGCACCGGTACCAGCAGCACCTCCAGCAGCTCCAGTAGCACCAGCACCAGTAGCACCAGTACCAGCAGCACCTGCAGCGCCTGCACTACCTCCAGCAGCTCCAGCAGCACCAGCACCAGCAGCACCAGTACCAGCAGTACCTCCAGCAGCTCCAGCAGCACCTCCAGCAGCTCCAGTAGCACCAGCACCAGCAGCAACAGTACCAGCAGCACCTCCAGCAGCTCCAGCAGCACCAGCACTGCCTCCAGAAGCTCCAGGAGCACCTCCAGCAGCACCAGTAGCACCTGGGTCCGCGACTCGAGGAGCGCCACTTCGGAGACTGCAGTGCCGAGCATACCACTCGCGGAGCTGCTGGGGAGAGGGCAGCGCCCGCCGAGAAGGGGAAGCACTAGCACCAGCTCCAGCAGCGCTCCGAGCTCTAGAAGCACCTCTCCTGAGGCTGTAGTACTGTAAGTACCACTCACGCAACTGCTCTGAGGAGAGAGCTCCTCCAGGTGCAGCACTCCCAGGCTCAGCACCCCCAGACTCAGCACCCCCAGTCTCAGCACCCCTAGTCTCAGCACCCCCAGACTCCGCACCCCCAGACTCCGCACCCCCAAGCTCCGCACCCCCAGGCTCTGCACCCCCAGGCTCAGCACCCCTAGGAGGACGAGAGTCGACAGCTACCTCGACAGGGTCAACCGGGTCTACCTGGGGCACACCAGAGGGAGCGGCACCCTGAGGGGGGAGGGGGTCTACCATAGCAGCACCTGGAGCGAGGAAGAGAGGCGGGGGAGGGAGCGGGGCAGTGCGGTAGGGGAAGAGGCGGTAGTAGGGCACCGACTCGTCAAAAGTGACGTCCTGAGAGGGCAGGACACGGTGCGAGGTGGCGTGGTAAAACTGCCAACCAGACGCGTCCGGGACAAAGCCAAGGAAGACACAAGGAACAGCGCGGGAGGAGAGCTTGTCCGCAGACGTATCGCGGACAAAAGCTCCAGATCCCCAGACCCGAAAACGCGACGCATCGCCAACCTCCCCCGTCCACAGCAGTGTGGGCGAGGTCTC